ACCTTGTCTGTTTTCAAAGCTCTCGTGTCCAAATTGCTCTGGAAACTCCCACACCAAATTGCTCACTGAGATCAACAGCGCACAACAATCTCTTTCAATATAACAGCATTATGCTAAAATCTCTTTACAGAAGCAAAGCAAAAATAATCAAGTATTGTAGAAAACAAAAAGTCTTTCATGTATATCTTGTCATTTCCAACTATATTCAGTCGCAAGTTCTGCTACACTTACGCAAGCTTCAACAACAGCACTGTTACATTCAGCCTTCAGCTCGCCAACAATGAAATTTGGATTCTAGAAGAAACGCTATCTTTACTAAATGTTTGAATACAAAGTTCACACGTTAGCATTAATGAATATTGATGAAAGAAACACAAAATTATAAAATCATCAAAAGCTATAAATTTAGAGCGAGTAGACCATCTTCAGCTGGTACTGCCAAGTGCAAACTGAACTTAGCTCGGGCAACATTTCTACACGAGAGCTGATTCTGCCATCATAAATCAGTATATTCTTTGAACTTGTGGGTTATTCTGATTAGAAACCTGAAACTAGCATTAGAAGTCCAGATTAATAACCATAATGTCAGTAAGGGTAAATTTCACAAAACTACTATGCAACCTTTTTGCAAAACTAGCATAAACTTTTTTATTTGTGAAAAATACTATGAACTTTGAAAACTGCAGACGAACACAATGAACAATGGGAAAACTATGGGAATTGGGAAATTATTGTTAACGACCTTAACATAGTATTGGTGGAAATAGTAGAGGGAGAAAGGACAATACAAAAGATATATAAAAGACAAGCGTAAAGTTGTCCCACACATGTCATGCGTGAAACATACGAGAGCTTACCCTAGCTATCATCACACAGTAGTTTGGTGAAAAACTATTCATGGCAGCCTTTAATAAAAATAAGGGAAAAATGCTTCCAGCCCCCAAAACGAATGAAAACAAGCTTCTCACCCCCAAGACTTTTTCAACGGGTGCTTTGCCCCCAAAAGTAAATTTTTTGTTCTCTGAGCCCCCAAACACAAAGCCCAATGAATTTCACACAGGGAAAGACTATAATACCCATTCTCTCTCTCTCTAACCCTGCAATCCCTCTGCTCTCCCTCCTCCCTCCCCCACCTCTCCACCCGCCGCCGCCGCCCTCCTCCTGCCATCCTCACCTTCTCCGCCACCGTCGCTCCGGCCATCCACAGCATCCTTAAGATCCAAAACGCGGAGAAAACCCCGGCGCGGTTCGAGGAGTACAAAGAGATCGTCCGCTCGAGGGCCGAACGAAACTCCGGCGACGAGCGCTGCATAGCCGACGGGAACAAGCGACTGAGGTTTTACTGCTTCATGATTCTCTGCGAGCTGGGTTTCATGGGAGCGTGGGAGCGGGCGGGAGGACCTGTTCATGGGAGCGTGGGAGCGTGGGAGAACCTGTTCATGGGAGCGTGGGAGCGTGCGGGAGGACTCGCCCAACCCAAGAACAATAATAAGAAGAAGAAGGACAAGATTGATAGTAATTACAACCATGCCCCCTAACCTTGGTTGCTCCTGCTTTGGATGCTACAAGAGCTTCTGGGCTCGTTGGGATGCCTCACCCAACCGCCATGTCATCCACCTCATCCTCGATGCCTTTGAAGAGACCCTTGAATCGAAGGAGGCCAACAGCAAGTAGAAGAGGGGGTTGAAGAGTAAAAAGATTGATTTTGATGAGGTTTTGGCGAAAGAGATGAGCGCCCATGAGGAGAAAGTTGATGATGATGGCCATGATGATGGGTACAGACATGTTACTAATTACCAACGCTAAAACTATTACCACCAAAAAAACTTTAAAATAACCCAAATAAAAATATACCGGTTGCTTGTTAAAATTACTCCCCCATTAGAATGTCCTACATTGGTTGTTAAGGTTATATGTTGGTTGTTAATGTTACGCGTTTGTTGTTAAGGTTACGTATTGGTTGTTAAGGTTATACAGGTTGCTTGTTAAGGTTACGGGTTGGTTGTTAAGAATATGCGTTGGTTGTTAAGGTTACGGGTTACTTGTTAAGGTTACGGATTGGTGTTAACGTTATACGGGTTGATTGTTAAGGTTACGAGTTTTTGCTTGTTTAACAACCAACTCGTAACCTTAACAACCAATCCGTAATCTTAACATCCAACCCGTAACCTTAACAACAAACGCGTAATCTTAACAACAAACGCGTAACTTTAACAAGCAACCCGTAACCTTAACAAACAACATGTATAACCTTAACAACCAACCCGTAACATTAACAACAAACATGTAACCTTCATATTAACGGATCTTGAGGATCTCTCTGACCGATTATTAGGCTCTGAAAAACACGCTAATTGAAGAAAAATGTAAACTTGGACCTAACAAACAAGGTGAAATCTCGACATCACAATAACAGCAGAACAAGGACCAGTGAAGCAAACAAAATGCACCAAAACATCAAATCCAAGCTCGACGGGGGGAAAACGCGTTGATTCCGACCGAGAGATCCTGAGTGTTCTGTATATTTAGAGTAACTTTTAGACGATATAGGAAGTCTAGATGCACTATTTTTATGCATGTTGGCCCGCTCATCCATGTTAACGTCTTTAATAGGTAACCAAAATAAATTTATATATTTTTCAAGAACACTCGCTTTTTTTAATAACTCTTAATATGTCAACATCTTTTAATTAATATGCATGGCACTATTCACAACATTTCTCAAGCTTCAAGCTACGTTCAGGAGTTTACATATTTCTTCAATTAGCGTGTTTTTCAGAGCCTAACAATCCGACAGAGAGATCCTCAAGATCCGTTAATATGAAGGTTACGTGTTTGTTGTTAATGTTACGGGTTGGTTGTTAAGGTTATACGTGTTGCTTGTTAAGGTTACGAGTTGCTTGTTAAGGTTACGCGTTTGTTGTTAATGTTACTGGTTGGTTGTTAAGGTTACGGGTTGGTTGTTAAGATTACGGGTTGGTTGTTAATGTTATATGGTTTGCTTGTTAAGGTTACGAGTTGATTGTTAAACAAGCAACCCGTAACCTTAACAATCAACCCGTATAATGTTAACACCAATCCGTAACCTTAACAAGTAACCCGTAACCTTAACAACCAACGCGTAGTCTTAACAACCAACCCGTAACCTTAACAAGCAACCTGTATAACATTAACAACCAATACGTAACCTTAACAACAAACGCGTAACATTAACAACCAACATATAACCTTAACAACCAATGTAGGACATTCTAATGGGGGAGTAATTTTAACAAGCAACCGGTATATTTTTATTTGGGTTATTTTAAAGTTTTTTTTGTGGTAATAGTTTTAGCGTTGGTAATTAGTAACATGCCCGCACCCATCATCATGGCCATCATCATCAACTTTCTCCTCATGGGCGCTCATCTCTTTCGCCAAAACCTCATCAAAATCAATCTTTTTACTCTTCAACCCCCTCTTCTACTTGCTGTTGGCCTCCTTCGATTCAAGGGTCTCTTCAAAGGCATCGAGGATGAGGTGGATGACATGGCGGTTGGGTGAGGCATCCCAACGAGCCCAGAAGCTCTTGTAGCATCCAAAGCAGGAGCAACCAAGGTTAGGGGGCATGGTTGTAATTACTATCAATCTTGTCCTTCTTCTTATTATTATTGTTCTTGGGTTGGGCGAGTCCTCCCGCACGCTCCCACGCTCCCATGAACAGGTCCTCCTGCCCGCTCCCACGCTCCCATGAAACCCAGCTCGCAGAGAATCATGAAGCAGTAAAACCTCAGTCGCTTGTTCCCGTCGGCTATGCAGCGCTCGTCGCCGGAGTTTCGCTCGGCCCTCGAGCGGACGATCTCTTTGTACTCCTCGAACCGCGCCGGGGTTTTCTCCGTGTTGTGGATCTTGAGGATGCTGTGGATGGCCGGAGCGACGGTGGCGGAGAAGGTGAGGATGGCAGGAGGAGGGCGGCGGCGGCGGGTGGAGAGGTGGGGGAGGGAGGAGGGAGAGCAGAGGGATTGCAGGGTTAGAGAGAGAGAGAATGGGTATTATAGTCTTTCCCTGTGTGAAATTCATTGGGCTTTGTGTTTGGGGGCTCAGAGAACAAAAAATTTACTTTTGGGGGCAAAGCACCCGTTGAAAAAGTCTTGGGGGTGGGAAGCTTGTTTTCATTCGTTTTGGGGGCTGGAAGCATTTTTCCCTAAAAATAATAATGGTAGTTTTATCAAAGCTGGCAGTCTCTTATAGGAAAAAACAAGGATAGTTTTATCAAACCCCCCAGCATTCATGGTTACCCGGTGAAATTTACCCCATCAATTTGCGTTAACAATGCCTTGTTCAAAGACAAACCTGCAGACTTTTAAAAGGCCAAATGGCTACAGTAAACAGCTTTGCAGGCTCGGTTCAACATGGACAGCTTAACAGAACAGCTAGATGAACTCAAAAGTTATGGTCCCCAGCATTATTTTAAGTATCTCTGACATGGCCGGATATATACCCCGGTATATCCTTTTACAGGGCTTGCCACAACCGATATGGTCTCTAAATATCCTTTACAACATTTTGGTTATTTTGGACAATATATCCCCGATATAGATGATATATCAGCCGACATATTGACCGATATACTCTTTTATATGGCTTGTCACAAAACAATATACAACGTTTGGCAATTTTTGACCGAGATATCATGATTTTCCCATTATATCAAATGACATTTTGCCCTAAAAAAATCAGATGAAATGTTGCAACATTGACTTATACTTTTGTTTGTTTTACAAGGTTGATTAGTGATCCTAAACATATATTATTTACATTTTGTATGCTTAGATTGAAGTATGTTGATATTACATTTTAGTGCATTATACTATATATGCAAATATTCACTATGACATTGTGATATTTACCACATATATCCAGTATTTCCCCGATATATGCAATCCGATATGAATTTTGGTCATCCGAAATTTCCCTAATATCCGATATTTAAAATCTCAGTCCCTGGTGAATGGAATTGAAGGTATCCAAATGACGAGCAGATTAGAGAATTCGATACATACCAGTTATTTCATACTTTAGTCTTCATCAAAGCCTCCTCCATCATCATCGACATCCATACCAAAATCCTGATCGTTATTACCCTCGTCCTGATGAGCAGCTTCATGTTCTACCTTCGCCAAATTATCCTTTATTTCCTGTAGTTTCTTTTCTAAATCCACCTTTGACTTCACTCGTAGTGACTCCAAATTGGAGTCACTAAAAAATGAGGAATAGGGTTTCAAAACCTGCAGCAAAGTAACAAGCAGTAAAATGAGGAATGAGGTTTCAAAACCTGCAGAAAAATAACAAGCAGTAGAATCAAACAACCAGATCAATGTCGCCTACGGGGCGAGGCAAAAGAAGGGCACACCTTGAAATAACAACCACGTTCTTTTGCACTGTTCACTAGGTTGCTCCAATGATCATCCTGCATTAGTGTTGATGCAGACCCCACCACCTAGAGTAACAACAAATAGAATTATGGTTTTACCTTGATTACATATCAGTATAAGAATATAGATCAAGGTCCAGCTCTTTGTGTACTTAGATCATAACAGCATAAATTGTATATTTGACTATTTAAACCTAGAATCCCCATATTTGAAAGATAAATTTTCTAGAGGTTTGCTGGCTAGGACACAACAATTGCACATTAAGCTTTTCAAGTGCGGGACAGGATTAAAAACGTTCCAGGTTTCCAACCTACATAGTTGAATGATCACAAACTTACCAGTTCTAATAAAGAGCCGAGGTTTATGGTGTGAAGCATATCTTCACCAAATTCAAGAATATGCATATCAAAATGGACTAAACTACCTAAAGCATACTCATTCTATATGTTATGACAGCTGTTTTTTAAAGCATTCGAAATAGGCAAGAAACACAACCTTCGATTTCCACTACCATGAGTGCCACTAGCTCATGTGAACTTTTTGAAGGATTTATAATAATTTTCTGACAAACAGGATTATAAATTATACAATATAAATTGAGAATCTTCATATAGCTGGAACATACAACAAGGAAGTTACTGTGGACCTTCAAACATAACTGCATAGTTCTAGATGATCTGATACTAGGATAACTCAGAGATTCAGATCTTCAAAAAATTATGTTTTCCTCAACTTGGTCGATATAAGCCAAGACTTTAGTTTATGTCATGGTCAGTCCAGGATCTCAGATTCGGAGTCTGAAGGGACAGTGTGAAAGAAAACAAATGAGTCTCTTCCAAACTAACCCTTACCAGCACAGAGGATCTTGCTCTAGTGATACCCACGTTCATTCTCCGGAAATCAGAAACAAAACCAATTCCTTTACCTTCGTTGGATCTAACACAGGAAAAGATAGCAACATCTTTTTCTCGACCCTGCATGCAGATAAAACACCATTAACAGCCAACTACAACTGCTAAATGCACAAATGATTTCAAGAAAATAAGCTGCATAACCTGAAAACCATCAATAGTATTTATATCCACTACTTGATCTGACTGCTTTCCAAAAGTAGCACGAAAGCGTTCACGTAGAAGCTTCACTTGATGTCTATATGGGGAAATAACAGCAAGTTGTGAGCCTGATTTCAGCTCTGGATATTGAGCAGCCAATTTGTGATACAAGAGAACTATAAAATCAGCCTCCTCTTCATTTACCCAGGAACCACTTCCAGTTGGTTGGGATTCAACTCCATCTATATCAAAGAAAGTAAATGGTCCAAAGCAACGGTACGCATGCCAAACTCTTTTTGTTTGCTTTTCGACCGAATCTCCATTTTCTAAAGAGCCATCATAAAATTCTTGTGATGGAAAGATGCTTATCTGTTTTAATGGACTGAATGGTAAGATTTAAATGAAAAGGGAAGCTAAGGACTTCAGAGTACACATAGATTTGACCTCTGGATGCATGCGATACTGAGTTCTCAGCATCTGTACAGGAAAACCAGCTCCTTGGAATCTCTTGAACAAACTTGTTCCGTACCTAATAGATCCAAGTAATGGAAAGTTACAAAGCTGAATTTGACTGAAGTACCACAATGGCCACGGGATGGCATAGAGGAAAGCATTTACCCGAATCTCTCAGCGGTTGGGGAAATAACAGTAGCTGGCAATTGAACCGGGTCACCAACCTTTGCGTTGAAAAATATTCATGTTAAAAAGATACACAATTTCAGAACGCAAATTAACCCCATCTATTACTAATAAGCAATAATTGATAGAAAAGGCAAGACGTTTATACAAAGAGTAGAAGGAAATTTAACAAGTTATACATGAAAAAAACTGCCAAATTAAATAGTTGGTTTTTCCCCTACGAACTACCTTTAAAATTGGGTCATTCTACAAAAACCACTTTTGATTGTCAGTTTATACATAAACCGCCTTTAAACGATTTTTTGTTGCAGTCAACAACTTGGACTCACTTTTTAGTTAAGTTTTTTCGGTGTTGATGTAATGATGTCAAATACCAAGTATATTAGAGAGATAATCCTTAATGGAAGTTAGGTGGGTCAATTACCGAAAAACTTAACTCAGAAATGGGTCCATGTGGTTTACTGCAACAAATAACGCTTCAAAGGTGGTTTACGTATAAATTGACAATCAAAGGTGATTTTTGTAGAATGACCATGTTTTATAGGTGGTTGCTAGGGGAAAACCCAAAACAGTAACCAAAAGTGAAGATCCACAAAATTATATGTGATTACAGCACCAACTTGCAATACTTGAATGGTTGAAAAATGTAATTTCTAGCAAATAGATAATTACATGACTGAGCATGTAACCTGGGCTGCTTTGATGAATACATTGCAATTATTTTGACACCAAAATGAAAATTTTGTTCGAAGTAACTATTTGTATACATAGTTTTCATTGATTTGTTAACAATTTGGATGGTGTTCATAGGGATGTTTTGAGGAATTTACAAAAGAATAATGTCTACAGACTAAATGAGTGTGTTTACAACATATATGATGTAGTAGTAACTAGCACGAGAGCAGTTGAAGGAAAAATAAATTCATAAACCTCTTCCCAAACTATTTCAGTATATAAGTTGACATCAAGGACCATCATCAAATCCGTATCACTTTAAATAAGTCATACATACATTTTCAAGGCATATTAAGTCTGAGATACTGAAGAAAAATTTGGAAAATGGTCAAATTAGGATAGGACACCACTAAAAGTAAATAATATTGACAATTTTACAATTTTATACACCTTAGTGGTGTCCTACCCTAATTTGAACGGTGACCTAAGTAGTAAATACAAGAAAAAGTAAATAAAAATATCTATGGAGTAGGCCATACAGTGGTGTCCTATGACACCACTAGACACTATGTGGCTCCGCCACTGCACAACATACAAAATAAACACTAAAATAAAAGAAATACAACACGCTCGTTCAGATGATGATACTTATTTTTAGAATCCAAGATATAGCCACATTACAACTTCATGAGGCATGCCAACTACAAGGGTCATATGCTTGGAAGTTAAAAATGTTTAGTGGAGAAAAAGACTGCAATAACTACGATATAATACACAATAGTGAGTTCTCATGTTCATTATATCAGATAAAAATATACTTGTCAGAAAACAAATTCATAAGTGTTTCATGCAACGTCCATGAGAGTTGCATCAGTAAAGGGGGAACATGTACTTTGATGCTTATAGCTAAAGAGTAGAAGCTAATGAGAACATTAATGCAAATAATGAAAATACATACCAGGAATACTTGTCTGCACCCATGGGATAGAGGGATGAGAGTTGCTGGTTCCACCTGGAAGAAGGAAATATCAGTGTGCTGTTGCAGGCATGTCAGAAATAATATCTTTCATATAAAGCAGCATGGGTACAGCTCAGATGACACCCGAAACGAGATACTCCACAACTTAATTTGAAAATCTGAGTAGATGAGAACAGATCCAAAGGAACTCTACTTGAATCAGACAGAACATTGCATAAAATGCAGACGACATTACAAACTAAATAATTTACTAACTTTAATTTCTTGCTTCACCTTATTGAATTCTGAAAAAGACACAGTAAGCATTCATATCCACATATTTATTTGAGCATATGCATGGTAAATTACTGAAATAGGCTTGCATTAGTACTTGCTCCCTGAAAACTTCACATATATGACAAGCCTACGTTCCAATTTTACAATCTTATGCCAACAACCTCACTAGCAAATAATAATTAAGAGACTAAAAAAAGCATATATTCTCATCCAAGTTTGAAATTTTCTTGGCAATTGGCTTTGATTGAGGTTGGATTTTACTTTAAGATAAGGGTTAATTTCACATAATCCACCTGAACTTTGGGGAATTTGTTTACCTCACTTAAACGTCCTGCACTTTTGGGTGTCTGACAAAGCTCCCTCGAACTTCTTTTCTCACCAAACCCCCTACGTGTGATTTGCAAATAACTAAAATGTTCTTGGGCAAAAAAAATTCTAAAATTTGTCACTTGTCATTTACAGACAACATACTCTCCCTCCCAACTTTTGTATTCTTCTCTCAAGCAAATTTTATTTTATTTGCAAATTACATGCATAGGGTTCCGATGAGAAAAGTTCAGGGGGAGGTTTTGCGAGACACCCCCAGACTTTAGGGGGTTATGTAAAATTAACCTTAAGATAAATCTAGAGAATATAAGCAGAACAATAAATCTGATCAGCAGCAATTTTTTTAGAACAAAATTTCCAAATGTTTTATTAACCAAATAACGCTGTTACAACCAGAGACTTCACTCTATATAGTCATGAAAATCTTAAGCAAATAATAAAGGAAAATATGAAGAATACAATAAAAGAGACTTTCCTTTGGATAAAACCAAAAAATATATGCAATTGCATAACTAATTTGCTAAAGAAAAACTCAAAATCCAAGTAAAATAGGAGTCGATGACTAGAGGAAGGCTTCAGACAGTCCTAAACAAAATGGAACAGAAGACAGTGTATTAATAACCCTAAGAAGCTGCTCATGGATATGTCCCCAGCATAGTCTATTTACCTATCTTGCACTATTTTAATTAAAAAATTGCATCTGAGCCCTTAAAACAAAGTTAAGCAATTTTAAAACATTAATAGAAGTTGACTTTGACGCACACCGTTTTCCCCTGCATCACTGCTACCCTAACTGGCAAATTATAGATGACATAAGAGCATCAAACCGAAGCAAATGAGGTACATACTGCTTGTGCAGCTTCATCGATTATAACAACATCGAATACCCTATTCAACCGGGTGAAAAGAGATGAACCACTGAAACTGAGAGTGGAGAAGACCTGCCAGTTCAGATGATCATAAGTAAACAAAAAATAATGCATACAGCGATTTTTTATACAGTAAACCATCACCATACAATAGCTGATTCATCAAGAATTGAAGCGCGAATCCGATCCCGATCTAATGGTCCTCCAGATCCCTGTTTTGCACCGGATGATGAGTGACCGATGCCAGCAAGCCTCTGCTCCACCTGCAAAAGGAAATATTACGAGACACTAGTCAACAAGAGTCATTCATAATCAAGTTTGAATTTTGACTAAACTGAAGGGCATACAAGGTGATCCATGGACACCGCTTTCACAGAATGATGCGGCTTTAGACCAATTCGAACAATCTTGGGATTGTAAACATGATCACTTTCATCATGAATGCCTGAAAGTGAACAGCACGTCATTTGATTGTCAATGAACAAAGCAAATACATAAAAATGGAGAATTGATGATGAGGAGTTTAAATGTTTTCAATTATAAAGATCTAAAATTTTCTTTTTAGCCTTTCGAACTGCAGTAACTTCATGAAACAAGCTGATAGTATAGTATGAAACAAGAAAATCAAAATGGAAGCAACTAGAAATAAATGCTTAAATAAAGTTTTAAATTATATATTTTTCAAGAATACCCATATAAGCGGCAATGTTTGTTTATCGTTGATGACAGTACCCATCAATGCTTATCATCTGCAAACACATTCTTAAATTTGCTATTATGATAGAATGGCCCAGACAGAAGTTTATGCCTGATGCAAGCTGATGCAAGGACAGGACAATATAGGAATGAACTATTTATTAGTTCTCAAATGCTAAGGAGAATATATGTAACATTCACAATCAGCAAAAAATATAAAAAAGCCTTTTGCATCATTGGCAGAGCCACAGGCATTTTACAAGTAAGCTAACATATATGAGTTTTCCTTATTAGTCCCTTATATATTTTATATTTAAAATTTCTCCTCAAAGCTTTCATATTTGAAATTAATCCCCAAAAGTTTTCATATTTGAAAGTAGTCCCTCAAAGAAATTAATCCCCAAAAGTTTTCATATTTGAAAGTAGTCCCTCAAAACTTCATATTTTGCCATTAGTCCTTCAAATCTTTGAAGTACTTGAGATTATCCTTTGTTATATTTACCATCCAAATAGTTAATCACACTTGTGTAATGATTAATCAGGGATGTACAATTACCAAATCAACAAAAATTAACATTAAAATCCATCAAGATCAAT